ATTGACTAACAACCGGGTTCCTACTTACTGCGAGGTAAACCGAGGCGTGTGGAGGAAGGAAACTTGCCTAAGGTTTCGCCTCGTCCGGGAATCAAACCCATGTCTTCTCACTGGTGAAGCGAGGGTTCTATCCTATATGCTCGTTGTTGATCTAAATACTGACAGGACGAGGTGGCAAACTGGCAACATGTGGGCTAAGTCCATTGTGGAGTTGGCACCCTTCACCAAACGATGCACGGGTCACAAGCCAATCTTCAGTACTTTTCCAAGCCAGCTGTGACCAATGCTTTGACTCGAGCTGTCACCGCAGATGTCTGAAATAAATAGGAGCTCAGAGTATCGTTGAGGCTGCTATTACCAGACGCTGCAGTCATATAAACATAGCTGGTGAATGCTTCGCATACTCAATCGCAGCCGTGTGAATAACTCAGGCCAGTTAGTTTCACTCTCCCTCTGTCTGTAATAATAATAATAATCCTGCCACTTGATCCAGCGCCTTATCACGTTCAGAACAGCTCAAACCCCTTCACGGGATTTTTACTGTAAAGTGTAGTGACTGTGTATTTGGTAGTGGAACACAACAGTCAATTTGCACTCAGCGACGTCCTGCAAAACAGCCACGGAGTGAGCGACCGGTTTTATCGGGGTGACGGGGCGGACGGGATTGTCGGCCAGGACACCGGGAGAGAAGAAACTCTTTGCTCTATTTGGGATAGCGACGCGGGATCTTTAACGTCCACCTGAACAGGCCACAGAACGGGGAATTCTCCAGATTAACATTTCATCCAAAGGATGGCATCTCTGACAAGGCAGTGCTAGCCCCCCACTCACTCCCTCCCCCACCCCCACACCACCGTACCCCTGCACTGCACTGGAGCGTCAACCCAGGCCGTGAGCTCAAAGTCCACGACATGGGTGGGTGGATGTGCACCAGAATAATCACTGGCAATTCTGACGCAGTTACATGGATTCTTAAAAGTTCAGCCAAGTCACAACGTGAAGCCATTGGCCTGCATTCCCGTTGTAAAGTGCCACCGAGACGGGTTAAGACTCCGGATCGCGCACACAGTGGGCTGCAGGGCAGACAGTGGGGTACTGTCTTATCTTAACACAACCCACTTCAGTGGTGGCCCTTATCCTTTCCATTGCTCCATAATTTAGTGGCTGAAGACAAAGAGACATCATGCTGCCTCTAATGGATTATTTAAGGTACTTTATCGCGCGCACAATGCTGTCTCAGTTTGACAAACCTATCTTTTATTTGTGCAGATTGTTGATTGAGTCTTCTCTCCGCGCAGTGAATGTGCCCCTATCCATGTCCTAACCTAATTGTGGTCAGCAATTTAACTCAATCACTTGTTTGGCTTAGGTGTCAGCCGGGCTCAGCCACTTTGCACTCTCTCCTCTTGAGTCCCAGGGTCACAGCTTCACAACCCTCATGTCAGGGACTTTGAGCTCACAGTCTAGGCTGACGTTCCAGTGCAGTGGTGGGGTGGGAGGGGGAGCAATGTCCCTTTTGAACGTGCTGTATTTCAGGTCAGATCAGCTAAGCCGAGGCTCCTATCTGTGTCGTGTTAAAGATTCCCGCGACACTACTAGAAACAGAGAAGCAGTTTTTTTTTCCCCCCTCATCCCCCGACCCCGGGTTTCTGGCTGACAATCCCCCAGAAAAAAAATCGCTCGTTCATCTCATGTCCAATTCCACACGGATGTTAATCACCTGACGTTACAAACAATAGAAAAAATCACATGTATCAGGAAAGTACAAGTTTCGCCCACAAAATATACAATCAATTCACTTTACAGTATATCCTGTGAAGCACTTTGAGACGTCTCAACGATGTGATAAAGCACTATATCAAATGCAAAAATGGATGATGATGATGATTATTATTATCATGAGTGTGCCAGGGTTTGGTGTTGGTTGATTGCTGGGAACAGCTGAGTAAATTATTGAGGATTTTTCCCTCCTATTTTCTCCTCCCCCGAAACACCTCTCCTCTCTGCTTTTCCTTCTCCTTTTTGGGAACGTTCCTATGCCAACCCTCCCAAGGTCCACAGGCGAGTCTTGGCGCTGAGTGTTGACAGATTGTTCCTCTGTGGGAAGTCCTTGGAACTCCTCTTCTTCTCAGTGGAGACTTCCTGGATAGTCATTAAAAGCAGCATCAAAACACTGACCCATTCTCCCGTTCCCTGACCCAGGTTTTCGAAATAATAAAGGGATTCGATAGGGTAGCTACAGAGAAACTATTTCCCCTCCCCGGTGAGGGAATCCAGAACAAGGGGGCGTTTCTGTGAGGACATCACAGGGAAGGGGAGTGAAGAGAAACAGGAGAGGATTTGACCATCAAATCACCGTGAAGCACGTTATATGACAGAGCAGTGAGGGTGGAGGATTGTCACAAGCGCAGTGTTGTGTAGGCGCCGCCTTGTGGCCAATCATTGACACACGGAATGGGCCAATTCTTTAAATTTCCACTGACCACTGACCACATCCACGTGGCTACATGTGGGCGGCGAGCAGCGGTTCGCATTTGCTAGCAATGCAGTGAACTTGATAATGCTGAAGCATAGGAACAAGGAGGAGGCCATTCAGACCCTCAAGCCTGTTCCGCCATTCTATTAGATCATGGGCTGATCAATACATCAACTCCAATTATCCGTCTTTGACCCATATCGCTTGATACCCTGACCTGACAAAAATGTCCAACTGTCCCAACAGGATATCATTAACTCTTCAAAGGGCATTCTTCAGAGGAATGTCTTTTGTCAGCCTGGGTGGGTTGGGTCAATCTCTTGGCCTCCTGGTCAACAGGACACGTGTTCAAACCCTGCATCAGGACTTTGAGCTCACAATTTGGGCTGGTTCTCCAGCACAGTGCTGGAGGGAGATAGGGATAGGGGAGGGGGGAGCTCTGCATTTCCGTCCATCCGATTGAGATGTTGAACCGCGGTCTTGTTGGGAGGTGTTCAGGCAGATGTTGAAAACTTTGCAACGCTATTTTTCTCTCTGCGTAGCAACTCCCTTAGTCGTGGGGAACAACACACCAATTGGAAAGGGGAAAGAAAGGAATTAAAGAAGGGGAGGTCGGAGAGGGTGCAGAAGAAAAATAAAGCTATTAATCATTGAATCATAGAATTATACAGCATTCGGCCCTTCGTGTCTGAGCTGGCTCTTTGAAAAGAACTAGCTAAATCAATCCCACTCCCCCGCTCTCTTCCCATAGCCCTGCAAACTTGTCCTCCTCAAATAATTATCCATAATTAGAACAGGTTCCCAGGAAGGTTGGGTTCAGGCCAGGACACTGGGGCTTATTTAGGAAACAGCTTGAAGCTGTTGCAGGAGGACAGGGAGCTGGGTGTTCAACAAGGATTGGATCAGATGGGCTGAAAGACCATCTGTATCTCTGAACCTCCCTTGTGAGCTTGTGTTGGACGCAGTTCCATATCTATCCCTGCCAGTAGAGGGAGATGCTGGACAGAGATCTTGGAGCCTTGTTGAAGTTGAAGCAGTACTCAGAGTGCTTCACGGTAAATAATTCTGGTGTAGTGTAGTGTAGTGACTGTAGCCAAACCCAGCCACCATATTGCCACGAGAAAGGTCCCTGGCGGTGTGGTGAATGGCTGATGTAACTGGCTGGCTAGAGGACACTGGAAAAAACTATTTTTTTCCAATATAGTCATAGAATCTTTAACGTCCACCCCAAGATGTTCAACAGGAGCTTGGGTTAAGTTCTTATCCCAAGGGCCAGCACCTCCGATAATTCGGCAGCGATTCCCCCCCCCCCCGCCCCCCACCCCAGCCACCCAGCACTGCATTAGAGCGGAAGCCTGAACGTAACATTACATCTTTTCTTCTCCCAGGGTCACAGCTTACATTACAATCTTTTGAGTTCTGCTTCCTGATTGTATTCCTGATTAAAAAAAAAGATACATAAACTCACTCGCACTTGTTTATGCACATCATTGAATAACGTATTGCTTGGCGGTGGAAACCTGGAACTTGCTTTCCTGATGGAAGTTGAAACACAAATACGATAGTGTCACCTTGGGCTCAGCCGGGGACACACTCCCACCTCCGAGCCAGAGGTTTGTGAGTTCAAACCCAATGCCGGGACTTTGAACTCGTAGTCTTGGCTGATCCTCCAGTGCAACGCTGGAGGACACAACGCCGCATTGTCGGAGTTGGGTCCTATGGACGAGACGGCAAACATATCATTATGCAAGTGGACCCGCCAGCACCTCTCAACAAGCCTGGGCTGTGTGTCAGCCACCCACCAACCCAACCACCAACCCACCCACCCACCCACCCGCCAACCCACCCAACCCAACCACCAACCCACCCACCCACCCACTCACCAACCCACCCAACCCAACCACCCACCAACCCACCCAACCCAACCACCCACCAACCCACCCACCAACCCACCAACCCAACCACCAACCAACCCACCCGCCAACCCACTCACCAACCCAACCACCCATCAACCCACCCACCAACCCACCCGCCAACCCAACCACCCATCATCAGCCATTGGCGTGACTCAAGCCACGGCTGTGTGTGAGACAGACAGTGGCTGCCGCGTTTCTCCCACAACGTCCGTCTGCTGTAAGGGTACATTCTGCGAAGCGCTTTGAGACCCTCTCGAAGACGTGGTGAGGATTATTAATTATCATTATTATGATTATGATTATCATTACTATTACCCATCTGCCGCCCCTCTCAGCGCAGCGTGAAGCGCGCGTGCGCAGAAGAAGCGAGCGTGAGGTGGGCGGGGAGCGGCGCCGACGCCGTGACGTAGCGGGGAGCGGCGCCGACGCCGTGACGTCGCGGAGCGGCACCGACGCCGTGACGTCGCGGGGAGGCGCCGACGCCGACGCCGTGACGCGACACAATGCCGCCGCCGCCGCCGGCCAATCGGAACGCGCGACGTCGGGTGTCGGCGCGCGGCGGTGGTGGTGGTGGCGGCGGCGCGCGGCGGCGGCGGGCGGGCGGGCGGGCGGCGGCGGCTGTGAGGGGAGGGGAAAAGATGTCGGCGCCCATCCTGAAAGTGGCGATCCCCGGCTGGGAGAAAGCGGCCCGAGGGAGCGTCTGCCTGCTCGGGGTGCTCCTCTCCCTCTACGCCTACCATGTGGAGAGCGACAGGGCCGGGCAGCCCGGGCACGCCGCCGCCATGTGCGACCTGAGCGAGCGGGTGAGCTGCACCAGTGTGCTGGGCTCGAGGTGAGTGAGTGAGGGGAGAGGGAGAGGGAGAGGGGGTGAGGGAGGAGGAGGAGGAGGAGGGGGTGAGTTGGCAGCGGCCGGAGCTCAGGTGGAAGAGGGAGAGGAGAGGGCGGCGTGTAGGCCTCTCTCTCTCTCTCACTCTCTCTCTCTCTCTCCCCCTCTCTCCTCTCATTGTGCAGCCGCAGCACAAGCAGCAGCAGCACTGGGCAAAGTGGGGGTGGGTGTCTCATAGGCCTCTCAGTCTCGGTCATTCAATCACTGTGACCCTCACCACCACCACTCACTCACCCACCACCACTCCTTCCCCCCCCCCCCCCCCACACACACACACATATAGACACACACACACCTATATAGACACACACACACACACACACCTATATAGACACACACACACACACCTATATAGACACACACACACACACACATATAGACACACACACACACAATTGGGGAGGGGTGTGTGTGTGTGTAGGAGAATGACATCTGGCAGAGAGAGATGAGGGGTGGGGGGGGGAGAGAGAGAGAAAGGCAGAGTAAGCAGGGAGGGAGGGAGGGAGAGAACGAGAGTGTGCGTTAAGACAGGAAGGTGACAGTCAGAGAGAGAGAGAGAGAGAGAGACAAAGACAGGAAGGTGGATAGTCAGAAAGAAAGAAAGAAAGAAAGAAAGAAAGATACAGGAGGATGGACAACCTTCAGAGAGAGAGAGAGATATGCCTGGGACGTGGAGAGTATCAGACAAATGGGGGCGAGTGACAGGTAGACAGATTGGGTGATGGACTGGAGGACAGGCAGTGGGTGACGAGTGGATAGATGGGTGGGCAGACGGGATGGGTGACAGTTGGGATGATGGGTGGTGGTTGGCAGGCGGGTGGGGATGGATGGACAGAGAGAGAGAGAGAGACAGTGATGGACAAAGGTGGGGTGGGTTAAAGACAAACAGACAGAGAGAAAGAAACACATATACAGTAGGCAGAGAGAGAGAGAGCATCACCAGCAGGCAGGCAAGACAGAGATAGCAGATTGCGCACATTTTTTGTTTTTGGTTTTTTGGAGGGATTATTATTAGGCGTGTGGAGTAAGGAAACTTGCCCAAGGTTGCCTGGAATTGAATTTCTCTCGCTTGCAAAGCGAGTGCTCTAACCACTGAGCTACAGGACTCCACGGAGATAGGAGGTTGCACCCATTTTTGTTGCATTGATTTAATAAATAAAGAGGATTTGATAATGGCAAGATGCCTGTAGCTGACCTGTAAATTCTTCACACATTGAAGTGCTTTTACTCTGGTTGGGGAGCGAGAGGGATGCATTAGATATCTGTTAAAGTGACCACTGCAAGTCATGGTTGCAGCTTTTGCTTTCGGTAATGTTCCCTCTCTGCACAATGGATTACTTTGGATATTGTCAGGATTTCATGTGCAGTTCGTAGGTTGGTTTGTCACCAATGGAATTATAGCCTCTATCACAAGGTGATGGATTGTAATCTTAGGTGGAGTAATATGTGCACATTTCGGAATTGCCCCCAACAGTAAGAAGTGCAGATGAATGATTTCTGAAGGAATCTTTGTCTGATGGCAGTTTCTTTCACTGGAAATAATGTTCCATTTGATGCTATTCCACTGGATGTAAATTGAGCCTAACCATTGAACTCAGACAAACTTGAAAAGAGCTGAACTATAGCCCTTTGGACCTTTAATGTGGGAGTTACAGACATCAGCTCTCAAAAGACTACGTAGGGAAGGATTCAAGTGCCTGTGGGAGTTAGCTGCTTTATTAGAACTCTGGTGGAAACACTTTGATCAATTTGACCTAAGATGTGGGATGTATTTAAAAGAAAACTCATTTTTTTATAATTTACAGTCGCGAGCAAGCAAGAGATGAAGGCCAGGTTCAGCCGTTGGGACTGCAAAGGTTTACTTGACTGGATCATGTGGCAAAACTCATTCCGCATATCATCGCCGTGTGACAGGTATGGGTAAGATGGCATGAAGTCGTGGTTTTACTTTTCTTAAAAAAAAGTTTGGCAACTTCAGCAATGAAGAAGAAAGGAACTTAAATCCCTAATGACAGGCCCATCTTGTAACATAGACTGGGTGGGGGAGGAGAGAGAAGAGAATCTCCACTGCCTATGTCTAAAGGAGAGCCTGCAATGATTTCTGTTCCCCACTTTTCCCTCCCTTACTCTCTCATATGGGACACTACAGGAGTCTCTGTGATATACCCCACGGTGACACCCCTGAGATGGGGAATCCACTGTGTGCGCGTGATGGATGCATGGTGATCACAGGTGCAGATCTATGCTCCTCTCCCTCCCTCCCTCCCTCTCTAACCCCTTCCACCCCCCCACCCCCCCCCCGCGCCCCAACACACATCTCTTTATCTAAAATTATCACATTGCTGTGTGAGGATCCCTTGTTAAAAACTAAAATGGTTACAAGGAAGTTTTTCTTTTAATTTTTGTTTTGGGATGGGGGTGGGGGGGGGAATAGAGAAAATCTTTAAGGTTATCTATCTGAAAAGGTACAAATTGTGAGTTCTCAAATTGGTAGTGGGAAGAATAGTTAATGACCCCAGTGTTCAAAGCTAAATGGTTGGTTAAAGTCCAAGTAAGAAAGTAACACACGAGGTAAATGGTATTGACCAGTTACCCCACCCCCGGGTGAAAATATGTGCTGCTCTAGTCAGTTCCTCCTCCCCCTTCCCCTCCCACGAGCACTCACTGTTTGAAGGAGAATTAAGAAAGAAAGTGGAATGTGGGAGGTTGCTTTAAATTCTGTCAAAATGTTTCGGATAGTGAACCTGTTTTAAGTTCATTTCTTACTTCCTCATTGCTAGAAACGATTTTGGAAACCTCATGACTTTGTGCCATCTTGTCCACAACTGTCATGTTGGAAAGTGTCAACCCAACCTCCCCCCCCCCCCCCCCCTCACCACCCACAAAAAAACCGTCAAAAAGCAACGCACTCTCCTTCAGTCAGTGGATCATGGTCATGTTGCTAAGTCCAGTAAAGTTTTGCAGGTTGACAGGTTGAGCCACTGCTATGGGAATGTGCAACCTATGGTCTCAATACGATTTGTTTTCAAAACCTGGCCACAGCCTCATTTCTGACAATGAAACAAAATGCATCTGGCCAGGTCAGTCAGCCCTGTTTTTTTGTTGCTTAACCCCATCCTGTGGCCGGGTCCGTTTGTTTTACTCACGGTAGCAACGAGACCCCCCCCGCACATCCTCTCTCCGCACAAACGATTCAGTGCTTCTGGTGGTGGTGGAGATTTTCATCATTCCTCATGACCTTTGGTGTTTAAATAATCCTAACAACCAATAGTAATACTACTACTAATACTATACTATAATCCTTGCGTTTGTTATAGGGCCTCATCTCGGCTTTGAGATTTTTCAAAGCGTTTCACAGGATATACTGTAAACTGGATTGACTGCATTTTGTGAGCGAAATGCAGCAGCCAGTTGCGCACAGCAGTGTCCCACAAACAGCCATCCAGTGAGTGAACAATTTTATGTGAGGGAATTGTTGGCCAGGACACCGGGAGAGAGAGAAACTCCCTTCTCTTTTCGAATAGCGCCGCTGGATCATTAACATCCACCTGAACATGCAGACGGGACCTCGGTTTAACGTCTCATGCAAAGGGCGGCACCACCGACAATGCAACACTCCCCCGCTTGGAGCGTCATGTTAGACTATGTGATTCCGAGACCTGACGTGGGGCTTGAACCCGCAACCTTCTGACTCCAGATCTGAAACCTCTGCTGACCCACACTAACGGGAATGAATTTAGCAGTGAGTAATGATCCATCTGGATCCACTTCAGCCCTGTGACTGTGGTATTAGAGTTGGCTGTGCAACCCTAACACTAACCTGCAGTGGACTAGAAAGTGTAACGAACGGAACCCGGGACCTTTGGCAGGTGCTCAGAGCCTCTCATCGTCCGGCAGACGGGACGTGTAATAATTGCCAGACTCTTCGAGTAGCAGAAAGAAAGCAAAAGAAAACTGGACTCCACATGGCCCACGTGGGTTATCAAAGCCCGTGTGTTAGTTTGGGAGCTGATCTGAGTTTCAGTGAAGTCGGAGCTTGGAGTTCCCAGCAGAGTTCTGGAATATCTGCCTCCAGCGCACCACGATACCTGCAGCACACTCTGTTGAAGAATTCCTTCTGCTGCTCTTAGGATGCCTGATAATGAATAATCTTTGTGTTTCATATAGCACCCGTCGGAGAGACATCTCTGAGAGCTTCACAGGATTTACTGTAAAGTGTAGGAGTTGTATATCTTGTAGGTGAACATGGAAAAACAAAGATCTCAGCTTGCAGAGCCCAGGGCTGCCTGAGTTGGAACAAGTCAGTAATGTGCAGCTGGTATTTTCTAAGGGAGTTGATTTTTTGGGGGAAGGGCTGCTTTCAGTCACTTTGTCTTCAACCGGTCTACTAGAACTCTAATTTCAAAATCACTTTGCTTTGTGTCCCCATAACCCCTCCTCCCCCACCACCACCTCCACTTTCAAAACCCCTCTTTAAAAACCTCTCTCTTTGACTGCAGTGCCTGCTGTGACTTCCGCTTACAGACAACCAACCGTTCTCTGCTTCAGGTGCCACAGCTATCTTGTCAGGGACATCTCAGATAGAGCTCCGGCAAGATCACGCTGTAACTAAGCACCGTCCTGAAGTGTGGCTGCGGTAATGTGGGAGTTTCACACGACTTTAAAAAGACGATGCCTCACAGAAGCAGACTATCTGCATTTCTTCCCAAAGCTATTGTGCCTACCAGCTCTCTCCTGACAAAGAGAAGGCAGGTCATATGGCATCGGTATTCTTTTGCCCACAATGGAGGGTGTTGGCCACTTGATTCTGCTTGAGGCAGAGGTGCAGAGCAGCCAGCTGACCGAGGTGACAAGTGCCCGAGATGAAAGCACAGCAATTAGAACGGTCTGATCGACATTCATAAAGGCTCGTTATTTTTTAAGAGGCGAGGGCAGGTCAGACAGAC